AACATAATATCTTAAAAGTACATTCCATAACGACCAATTTTGTTTGATATCTCATTATATTTATACTTAGGCATACATATTGCCTATTAATTTCACATATATTCTCATATACATGAGCATAAAAACATTTGGTTGAACATCATCGATAAATGGCAGGTTAACTGATCCACTAATGCAATAAAGATTGCGGTCACACTACTCCGATGCATGGAGAACTCTGTTTTTGCGATGGTATTAATTTCATAAATAATAAATAAAACATATTCCGAACATCGAGCAGAGGACACAGATGAAATGCACTCGGCAAATTAACTGAAAACCGCAATCCGGAAAAGGCTAAATACCTGCTAATGATGGCGCAATCGAAGCTTTTAACTCTATCAATTTTCATTTTAAAAATGGCGGCTAAATAATAACTGATTATGGATTGTGATACAGAAAGTTCGGTAAATAGTCGTATATTTTGTTTTATAACTTTTAATATTAAACTTAACAAGACAACATAATTAATAAAATAAAATGGCATATTTTATTCTTGTGTGAAGCATCGTCTTAATCAGCGTATGGTACTTTTCCGCATTTGTTTAATTGTTGTTTTAGGTATTTTGGACATGTATTTTGTGTCTGACAGACTTTTCAATTTAATCGGTTTCATAAATACCGGTAGTCGTATATTTTGTTTTGGTTTATAACTTTTAATCTTAATGTATATTAACAAGACAAGATTATTTATTATTTAAAATGGCAAATGTTATTTTTGTGTGAAGCATCGTCTTAAACAGGGTACAGTTGTTTCATTGTTTGGGAGATGTATTTTGGTCTGACACACGTTTTTAATTTAATTGGTCTTATAAATCTTGGTTTCGGTGTTTTTCTTCAAGGTACGAGCAACCTATAAAGACTGAACCATCATTGAAAAGGGTTCGAGCGCACGACAAAAGGATTATGGTTCGCACACTTGCACACTACATTTATTTTATTATTATATATAGGTAGTAATTTGTGGTTAGTTTTATGTAATTATAAACGAAATTATATAATTATTATCAAAAATGTCAATCTTCGTAATGTGTATGCGTATAAGTTATAGTATTGTAAGTGAGATTATGTAATTCCAACAATAACTCGCTTTGTGTATTAGAAAATTCTATTTGAACGTTGAAATACGATATTTGAACCAGTGATAGATCAATTCGCTCTTCTAGTCCAATTTACAATCAATGCACGCGTCGATTGTGGGTTTGTATGTAATAGAAAGTTCGCACGTACTGTGATTATTCAGTAATTTACACTGAGCGCTAATCAACTGTCATTACTGATATTGACGATCGGAATTCGTATTACAATAGTTTCCAACACTCATGTTTGGCCAAAATACCATTACCAAATCCATATTTAATTGCTTCCTTTATTACCCAATTTCATATAAAAGCTGTCGAAAATATACGAAATATAAGACCATTCGCGCTTAGTCAAAGGCTTGTTTCGATGTACGACAAATTCCTAAACATAGTTTCAAAACTAGAGGTGAGGTTTCAGCTGGTGAATACAAAGAAAAAGTCCGAATGCATAACCTGTTCCGAGCGGAACAAGAGAGTTGTGGAACAAAAACTATTAATGTAGAGCTCCTCACGGCCCGCTGAGCTGTCGGTGCGTTTCGTTTGATAATTTCTGTATACAGGCTTTAATCGAATGAAGTTCCCCTAACAGCGCTTTGGGCATCTTTACCCGCGATTTATTTTAACGTATTCCAATGTTGCCCAAAGAAAATTATATATTAATACTCAGAGATTTATCTTGTTGCCTATAAGCGAATTGAAACAAAAAGGATAGGCAGAGATTTTCTTCTTCTAAAGCTTTTTTACCTACCAATTTTTTTAATTAGTGACAGTTGATTCCGTAACTTCCGGATGGAACCAAGCGTCATGCTGTTATTATTGAATTCATAAAACCACCATTGGCAATGAAAAAACTTCAAAGCATATAAGCAATATTTTTCCCGTTAGTAAAGCTAAAACTATTAGACCGTGTGCGTGGACGTCGAAATTAAGCCCTGCGGCGGATCCGTATCAGTCGTAATAAAACGCATGCAAAGTTTTCTTTGCAGAGCGAGCGCTGGCCGCAGCAAACGGATGTGAAGCAACAGGCTTGATTAAAACACGTGTTTACAGAACGCAAGTCCACTCGGTTAAACGTAATAATCACTTTTCACATCGCTGCGTCTTTTACCTTCAATCTTATCGACTTAATTAGGTAAGTGTAAGTGGAATTTACGTAACTTTGGATAAAGATTATTTATTTAGTAAGTTATAAATGTATTGTCACTGATTCGATTTCAGGCAGAACAATAATATTCAGTTAACGCAACGATATTGCCTGGAGTTTCTGGGGATTATTGAAATGTGGGCTGTGGTCAATTCTGTTCGTTTCTGTCCCATTTTAATTCTGATCTGTGCAGTAACAATTTATATTTTACTTAAAATATCATAATTAAAAAATATCTCCAGGCCTTTAATTATATGTTCTCATATTTTTTGTTATTGAAATTGTGCCGTTATACATTTGTCATGTAATACAATTATATTTTACATAGAATACGATGTAAGCAACATTTTCACATATACTAGTAGGTAGGAGTCGCAATTTTTAGGTCTAAACATTCCGTTTTGCTCAAGTTGTTTTCCATCCCGTTACGATCAATTATGAATTAAAACAGAATTTATCTAATCGTAGGCAAGATTTCAATCGCACACATAAGAGTTAAGTTAGAAGAGATTAGAGAGAATCGGTTTTATTTAAGTTGTAGGAAGATGGATATTGTTAAAACGCAAGTAGGTATAACTCAGCGCATTTTACGTCTGTAAATTATAGTTTTACGATCGAAAATCATTTTTATGTTTTCGGAAGAATTTAATATGACGCCAGCTATGCTCGGCACATTCGCTCTTTTATTGCGCTGTAATTTTATTGTTTTCTCGATTTTTATTAACTTTCAACTACCTATATTAGGTCTCAGTTATCAAAGACCAATGTGGAAGGAATCGATATTTCTTTTAATTTCGGTCTTACTGGGGCTGATTTATTCATATAGGGCTGATGTATATTTCCATTCAAATTCAATTCAAAAATCATTTATTCACGTAGGTAACACAATGTACACTTGTGATTCGTCATTAAAGAAATACATATTAAGCTTCGGGAAGCTCTGGATTTTCATGCATGAAACTTATTTTTCTTTACAAGATAAGTTAATATTAGATTAATGAGCCCGGTCTTTCAAAGTAAGTCTTCTTTAAAAGTCCTTCAATTAGTTATGTAATAAATAGGGCACCAGAGCTTTGCAGTAAATTTTCTGTCATCGTGGTTTCATAGAAATATTATTGCTAACTTTAAATTGATCTCATTTAATAAATCGAAGTAAGATTATCAGTATTACATCAGATGTAAGAACTTTTTTATCTAGATCTATTTGCCATCAGATTTTTCTATAACACACTTAATAGTACAACATAATATAGTATTGAACTATAGACGCATACTTGATTCATTGTCCCTATTATAAATAATTAGACCTCAGTGGTCCAGACAATATTAATCATAATCAGAGAACAGACCTAAATCACATCCAAATAGAGATAAGTGACCATTTAATTAATGATTCACGTATAAATTGTACTGAATATTACCGCCACATAATAGATAAGATTTGATCAGTTTCTATTATTGAATTCACATACATGTAAAATAATTAATACAATGGCACTACTAAAAGATTGCGTCTTTTTTTCATAATTTTTATTTAACAAGTACCTAGGTGATAAGCTGTGTTTATATTATCGAGTTTCACTTTACGAGAAAGTGTTAATTGGGCACGTATAAACTAAAATAACTATAACTACGAAATCGATTCTAAACAAAATTAAAGTTATACTTTCAAAATTCAAAATCATTTAATCATATAGGTAACACATTGTACACTTATGACTTGTCAGTAAAGAAATACATATTAATGCTTCTAATTTTACATTTAGTGCCAGTTCTCAAATCAAGGGCGTAGAACGGAAGAGAAGAACTGGCAATAAACTCTCCGCCACTCTTTTTAATCGCCATGGTTTTTTTTTACACAACGTTTGTAAGGCTGCTGCTCTAAGCTGCAACCATTAAACCATGTTCCACATGACATCTTAAGTACTTAATAATAATAACATAATTTAAAAACAAAGAGTTGTCCTCTATCAGCAGGAGGCATGGTGAAATAGGAGCACGCACTTACATTCTCGTGGGAACAACACGCAAACACATAGTCGAAATAATTAACACCACCGCATACACGAATTCAAGTACGACCAGTCACCACAAGTAGCACCCGTTCACGAGTATGACGCATGGCCAGCGATCCTGCCACAGGGACCAAACCATTTAATTTGTTTGAATCATTTATTAATTTTTAATTACTTTTATTATTACAATGTAGGTTAAGAAAATTGTGAATACAGTGTATTTCATTGCTATGTTTAGGTTTTCCTAAAAATCTATCCCAAAAAAAAACAAAATTTAGGTTATCATACACTGTCTGTGAGTCATTTTATATATTTTAGAAAGAACGAATTTTTTCCTCTAATGTTTTTAACCGTTATTAGTATCAGTTGAAGGAAAAAATACTTCTATAAGCGTTACGCGTTGGTACGCATAACTCTGAGACCCTAGGTTCGATTTTCGACAAATCAATTTCTATTTCGAGTTTATAAAAATCCTATTAAGAAAAACAGCTCTGTTCTGTTTGCTATAGGGGTAACAAACAAAGAGTTTTTGTATTATTAACGCGAAATTATAAGGTTAGCCAACCAGGTGAACGGTAACCTATGTTTATTCACTTAGCAACTGTTACTTTGATAAACAAATCAACCTGAAAATGATGTCGAGTAGTTTTAGACAAACATATTTTTTATATTAGACGATTGTTTTAATCCGCTTTTAACAGTGTTGTGAATTTACACACCATGTTGCGTGTTTCAGACGTAAACCTGAGAGAAACTGAAGGAATCGCGCCTAACCCAGATTGTATTAAAGAAGTGGTCGCTTGTCAATGCGAATTAGGGCGTGAGAAGCTTCTTACTGCGCCACCGTATAAGAAGTTTAGTTTAATAAAAGATGATGATGCGAAATCCCGAATCCTCACTGCTCCCTGTGCAAGAGAAACGGAGCAGTACAAATGCCCAATCAGTCATATTCTGGTCACATTCAAGTCCCCCTTACACCCTAACGAAGTGTTCAACAAAGTCTTCCCATCCAATACACCTATTAAATATGTCAAACGCAAGTTAGCCAAATTACTATCTGTGTCAAACAATAATCTTTTACTTACAAAAAATAGAAACGTGTTGAAGGAAACCAGTGTTCTCTCCGATCTGAAGACTGATACCCTAGGAAACCTAACAGTCGATGTCTTCACAAAGGATTCAGAAGATTTCTCCTTATCCACAGTTCCAAAAGACTCCTACGTTCATGATCTCCTTCAATCAGTACTTCCAAAGAAGAAAACCATGGCATTTATAGCAATCAAATTCCGAGTACGAAATCAGAACGGAATTTTTACTCGCTCATACCATTCTATAATAAAGATTCACGAAATTAAGAAGAATCTAGGTGGTATCTTTCAAGTTGAGCCTGATAATTTAGTTTTGTTGAGAGGTGAACACCCGCTGAAGGATCGCATGGCTCTTCTGGACTTGGATTATGATAAATATGGAATCGTGGAGGTGGAATTGTTGACCAAAAATAATGTGCAACTAAATTTGGATAAGCTTTATAGGGAATTGCCAATGAATGACGTGCTTACAGTAATGGTGCCCTTCGGTAGCACCCTGAAGCATATAAATGTTGAAATATTTTCTGAACCCATACAAAAGCCATTTCTAGGCGGTTACAGAAATGTTCATACAGGTATGTATAGAGTTTGTGATATACGTGGTAAATGTTATAAAATAATAAATTTAATTTAAATACATTTAAGGGGCAACGTATCACCACGCGTTCACGCAAACACCACAAAAACCAGAAAAGCTTCTGTCGGATCATAAAACGTGTCGCGATACACAAACAGCTGAAATGCGCGAAAAAATATACGTGAGTATCCAACGAATCGTACTGAGTAGACACGTACCCGTTTAATAAGCAGAAATACGATTAGGGAACATATTAATTTCATTCTTGGTCTCCAAAACAGATGTCGATATAATTGTGATATGCAGTAGAACGTTGCATCGTGCTTTCTAGATATGTCTGAATAATAAGAAACTCCCATCATCATTTAATGTTAACATCTCTAAGTCATATTTTTTGCGGCTATTTCTTAAGTTTATTACTAAGCCATTTGCAATGCGCAAAATTCTATTGACTTCATCCTAGGATTGTACCTTTACAAAGTATAGGTACCTACACATGTTATTTCATTCACCGTTGGTCAAAACCAAAATACTATTTCTGTGTCACATTTAAAAGGATGTATAGTATTATAATTTAGTTCCCTATTGACACTGTCAGCCAATGGTATATCAAAATCCAATATGTTAATACTTTTCTGTATTATTGATGTATTTTTTGTATGCAATAAAAAACGTAATTACATATGCCTTCCGGCTTGTTTAAATAGTACGTCGCACGTCGATTAGGGGATGTAAGGAGGGGTGAGCTTTTAAAGTCCTATAGCTCGATTAAATGTTGCGTTCGTATATAATAAACTTTTTATAATCAAATTTGTAAAAAAAAATTTATTTTTTTTTCCCCACACTTGGGAAGTTGACACAGTGTTGTGGAAAAAATTAAAATTTGAGGGGGGGGGGGGGGGGGGGGGGGGGGGGGGGGGGGGGGGGGGGGGAAAAAAAAAAAAAAAAAAAAGGAGGACTGTCTAGATTTGTTTATTTCAAAACTCTGTTCCAAATTAATGAATTCCAGGACACAGCGTACAGCCGAGCCACTCAAATGAACACAGTTCACGCTTACATACCCAACGTAACTGACAGGATTGTGGTGCCGGGCAAATATGAAACCTATGACGAAATGATCGCGAGACTGAACCACGACCACTACGCCACTATCATTCAACGAGCCTTTAGGCACCATCAGTTCAGGCAGAAAGTTCACAGATGGCTAAAAGACTGCATGTAAGTATCAACAATATTTTCTTTATAAGAACTATAATAATTAATCAATTATAAACGCAAAAATGAGTCATTTCGCCTTTGGTTTACGCGAGTACAGCATATTTTTACGAGTTAATTAAATAATGAAATAAGTCCGCGTTTATATCGGTTATGTATTTTTAATTATTTCTTTTCTGTAGGTTAGGCTGGCTTTACTATTATGTTATTATTATGGTCGATCTTCGTATAAAAAAGCACGTCAGTGAAAAATATCAGGCAATTTTTTTTGTAAACAACAAAACAAGTACCTACCTGCTTTCCGTCTACAGGATTGAATGCTTTAGTTTATTGATTATTTTTATTTCAAAAAACCATGTCCTAAATGAGTAAAATATCGAATTATTGTAATAACTTTCAGGGAAAGAATAGCAAGGATGAAAGAGGAAGAACGATTGGAACGTGAAGCTATGGAACGTCGTTTACGCGGAGATCTTATCACCAAAACGTTTCCAAAGACACGAGAAGATTTCGATCAACTTTATTCCATGGTACAACAATAACCTATTCTATCAACTCTCGTCAGCTATTTGCCTTAAGTTTCCGTATAGATCAAACATAAAGAGAGATGTTCTTTTAATTGAATTTATTTGCCTTAAATTTAAGTGTAAAACAGTAGTAGGTACCTAATTTTTTTATTTTTATTAAAAACAGTAAATTAGAATGTTTTGTTTAAATAATATACCTTTCCAAACTGAAACATTTACTGTGCTTTAACAAATAAGACATAATATCTAAAACTATAATACTACTATAATATTAATTATTGTTACAGTGCAGATTTTTGTTTTATATCTTACTTTTCTAGGTCGATCGCTGGAAACACGCAGAAATTGCTAGAATATCTCAGTTACACTCAAAAGGGCCGAAAATTGCCGAATTTACGTTACTTCTTGATAAGGAAGTTGAACTGCTGCGATGTATTGAAGCTTATCGAATTCAAGTGAAGGAGGATAGCCGAAAAATAAAAGAAAAACAGTTTCTAGAAGAAATATCGAAACCATTCGCGTGGTATGGACGGGATGGAAAGCTAATAACGATGGATACTGTTGAAACCCAGAAGGCGAGGAAACTTAAAGAGCTGTACAACTCATTTGTCCGCGATGACATGGAGACAAATGAGCGAATAGAAATACTAGTCGATATGAAGTTTGCCCTACAAGAGTTCCGCCACCCTTTAGCTGAAGAAATTATAAACCTCCTCGACAGAGAATGTGACCTTCTCGTTCGGAGATGTGACCATCATCAATTAGAATTTTTAAGACGTAGAATTACAGCCACTCTTTTTCAACTGATAAAGACATCTGAACTTAACTCAGGCGTAACCAAATGCAAGGATATTAGAGAATATAGAGAAATGCAAAACGACAGGCTATACTTTTGCGAAATGTGTCATCAAGTTAAGCTCTACAAAGATTTTCCGTTGAATGCGAAAATAAGCGGTTTCTTAGTGTGCACATCGTGTTCATGGAAGGATGTAAATGAACGCAGTTGGGTAGATATGACGCCATATAAGTTTATACTTAGAGCTGTGCAACGCGACGAGAGGAAGCGAAAATGTTGGGGTTCATTTGCATTTGTTTTACAAGAGAAGGACATATTTTTCATCGTTGAGAAGCTGTGGCATTCCCATTCAGCCATAAGTGAATGCGCGGATTTATCCGAGCTCAGATTATGTAGGTGGCACGTTGATGAAGACTGGTCGCCGTGGAACTGTTTCCTCGTCACCGTCCAAGAGATGAAAGCTCATCTGAGACTGGAGAGACCAGAAGATGTGTACGATGAGGAACTAGTACAAAAAGTACAGAATAAACATAAGCTTGCGAAAGCAAACTTTGAACAGCTGATGTCAGTAAACAAACGTTTCACGGAGAGTGGTGATTGGCCAGCTATTCTCGCCCCGGCAGTAGCGAGAACAAAAGCGGTTGATATAATATGAAGTCTGATGAAACATATCAAATTTATTTTAAAAGGCCGCAACGCAGTCGAATGTCCATGGGCGGTCTCACTTAACATCAGATGAGCCTCCTGCCCGTTCGTCAGTTCTATAAAAAAATAGCTTAGATGGATTGCTTATTAGTTGTCACTCATTGCATTTAGGCATTTCCATTGGTTTCGTAGTACAATATAGCGTAGGCTATCAAAATTCCTTTGAATAGTTTTAATTTGTTATTTCGATTTTAAAAGTATTTAATCTATAGTAATAAAAAACCTTTGTTAATTTTCATTCTTTTAATAATAATAATTACATGTAATACTTTAAAACATAATTACACATTACATTTACAATAATTTCTTAAGATATCAAACTCTCGTGATAAAACTAACAACATAATATAGAAACGTATCGCCAGTTTCTGTATTCATAAAACGAATAACGATCCGTATGACGTCCTATGAGGTTTCATTAAAAAAATGAATATAGAAACTGACCCATACAATACACAAATGACAACGCACAAAGGGAACCTATGATACTATAATTCAATAAATTACGTAAAATATAATATGTAAGAATACAACTATACAAAGATAATTCCAGTCTATACTTCACTAAAACCGACTTAAGGTACCAAATACAGCTGAAGCGGCAATGTTCGAAAATACTCCTAAAAAATAAAGCTGTCAAAAATCTTAATCATTCAAAGAATTCGCAAGTCAATCAATCACACAAACTATAAATAAAACATATCTACACATTGAGAATTTGATACCCACACCTAAAACTATTAATAAAAAAGATATCTCCAAAATATGATTTCTTTAAAATTGTACCTAAATTTACCCAATAGCTTTAAATACAGAAGATTATACAAAATATTAAACGATTAAGTAGGGTGCCACTGTATTAGCTAAGGCTCGTGAAACTATAGAAACAAATAAAGCTGTACTATGAGCAAAATAAATTACGAATCGCGTGTCGAAGATGAAAATATTAAGCCTATTCAAGATTTAAATTCTTCAATTTATCCCTAATCTAATAATAAAGGCTATCGAACTATAACAACCTATTAACTAACCAATTCAATCTGATGCAATATTCAACATACATAAATTATCAATTATTTCAACCTCAATAAATACTATGAGACCTCTTTGTTCGACTTCACTTATTGGAGGTGGAAATAGAAGAATCTAGGAAAGCGAAACTATATGACGGCAAAACTCGTGTGATCCTACACCACTTAGTTATTTGTATATAGAGTTATGATTTATTATCAGACGGAACTTCTGAAAATAAATCATACAACTCACTCGCAAATGTTGGCAATTAAAGGACGTCGCTGTTGAATTGATTAAAGTATTCGTTAATATGGCCTCGATCGTGCGAAACAAATTTTGCGGTTTTAATCAACCCGACTAAGTGCGAACTGTCAAATCTGTCATATGATGCCCCTTTGACAGACGAAAACCGTCAATGCCGCCACACTTGAAGTGTTATTCAAATATGATACTATACGCAAATTACTAAGTGAAATAATGACATAGTTTTTAAACAAATGCGCTATTCGACATTCTAGTAAATTTCTGCAGAAATTGTAAATGTCAAATTGACAGATTCAAAGACAGGAACTCTTCCATCTGTCAAATGGCCATCGCATTTGATTTTGAATACATATTGAAACATCAACACTCAAATGATCACACAATTTTTAGAGAAATTCAAAGCAAGTTACTATGTGTTAAACCTCTTCACCGAGTCTGAACCAGACATTCATGGACCAATATTTGATCACTAAAAACGGGAAGTAAAAAGGTAACATCACAAACAGATATTCTTGAATTTGCATCCAGTTTATTCTGTCGTTCTTTAATTCAGATATCTAATGAACGCTATCCAAATTCGTTACACCTAAACCTTAATTTTTATGGCAGACATTCGCGATCAAAATTCGATCCATGAATTCAAACTCAATGTAACAATGATCGCCACACAATAGACTTGTTCCACTTTGCAGTACAAAATTATTTAAGGGCTATAAAAGGTTTATATTTGGGCCGAAGTCAACAGTCTTTATTCGTAATATACGTAGAACGTACCTTGGGGCCGTTCAAGTATTACGTAAGCACTATATTTTTCTTTGATTTTTTACACAGCATTTTAGCATAGACAATGTGTGGGTAATATACACATTGTGTATATATGTAAGCAAACATAATATATTTTCCTATACAAACTCTTTTGTAATGTTGTCTGATCGACGATGTTTAATTTATGACACTTAAGGATGTTTAAGATATTTTAATTTTTTCATTATATTATTTTACTTTATAAAACCTAGAATATAGGCTTTAAATGTTGTTTCTTTTGTATTCACAGAGAAACGCAGTTGCGCCTTATTTATTCCCAGTATAAGCGATTGATACTATTATATATATATTAATACGTTTATGTACTATTATTGTTGAGAGATAGTCTTACTTTTGCTGACAGGGGGGATTGCATATGGGGGATATCTTGGGAATATAAAACCGATCTAGATTTTAAACGTTTATATGCTTTAAATAAGTTTTAGACGCGCAAAGCGGAACAATAGGCCAGGCATTATAAAGCAGTTTGTACTCGATCGAACTTCACCAAACATCTCAACCGATTAAACTAGCTAATTTATTTACAAGAATTGTGCCTCGAACAATCGCAATTGCTCTGAAACGCTCGGTACTATACAGTGCGTATTCACAACTATTATACACTTAAACTATTTGCACTTTATATCGCCAAAACGGCTTAAACCCGGAAATATCTCAATTTAATTAAGAAACGATTTATTTACATGGGCGACGGGTGAGGTAAATCATTTAACAATGAGAACTAACATTACGAATGGCATGATTTAACTATACATTTAATTATTTACAAGTCGCATCACACGTCATATGGTAATTTAGTTAAAATACATTTTCGTCAAACAAATGCATAACAGAATTAATGAGAGCAATACTTTTTTTGGTTGAGCGCAAATCCATTTGACTACATCAAACTTATTACGTAAATTGATCAGGAAATAAGATAGAATTAAGCCATTATTAGGTATAAAAAAATTAGTTACCATAGTGACGTCACACTTCAGATTACTAACAAACCACAAGTGCAACAACATTCCCATTGTTTATATTTATAGAGAAAATACATTTCATAGCTTCATTAAAACTCGTTTCGAATTTTGTAATATGACGTCAGCGCCAATATAAACTAACAATTAATTTTAAACGAATTCAATGAAAACGAAAAAATTACTCACGCGAGTCACTTACTCTAAGGCCCGTATTCAATCAAACTTGAATCCAGTTTCAAGAGCTGTCAAACCGTTTTTTCTGTATGGAAATTGACATATTTGACAGCGCTCAATACGAGAGTCTGACTTGAGATACAAATTAGAATATAATATCAATTGGGCATCTTCCCACAGTTCAGATATTTCGCCAATTTTTCACGGCAACATTTTGAAATCATATTAGCGCTAAGTACGACTCTCGTATGTCAAAACCATTTAAAACTTTAAGTTTAAGTGTAATCTCTTGTTTATGAGTTTTTTTTGAGATTAAATATCTATAAAACTACAAATTTACGAAAGTCATGTTTAGCTCTTAGTATTATTTTTGAATCTTTCCGTAAAGGGAAAAGTAGGGGAAATACGTAAACTGTGGGTAGATGGTCAATTGTAAGTCAACGAATAACACTTTATATAGTCTTGACCTAATGATAGTTGTTGCCATGGTTACGACACTTTTTCCACACGCTTGATAAGGCCAAACAATATTCGACTATTAGGTGACCCGGAACTTGGCCGAAGTTCATTGAACCCGTTGGCGGACCTCTTTATAAATAAATCAAATTTATAGACGTTGCCATATACAAAGTCAGAACAACCATATTATATAATTAAATCCCCGTAAGACGAACAAAAATGGAGGACCAAGTCACTCGGCCCTTCAATTTGCTAAAACCGTCCCGCGATAGGAATTATCTAGAAAAAATAAACGTAATACAAGGCGGTATGACCTAGACTTCAGCTAGGTCGGAAGGCGAATAAAAAACATGCATTTCCCTACTCCTGTCTAAGCTCAATGGTAGCTATCGACTTCCATAGATGACGACATCCGATCAGAACTCGAACTACTGTAGTTCATACTATAATTAAGATTACTAAGGGACATATCTTGAGGTACGTCCGAGGGCGAAGTCTGGTAGTAGTTAGTCGGGTAGGCACTGGTGTAAGGCGCGGCCGGGGGCGGCGGCTCCGGGGGCGAATCTTCCTTGTCGCTTTCCTCCATGAACTGAATTATCCGCTGCGTCGATTTCACGTGCGCTACTATGGCCGCTTCAGCCTGGAATTGTTTGAGATAAGAAATTAATTGTTATAACAAGCTAACAAGTAATACTGTGTAGTGTGTAGTTCTTATACTGTGCCTGACAGATGAATTTAGTGTCTAATATCAGTTTCCATAAGTACACAACCGGGATGAAATGCTCTCAATCGAGGTCTTCTCAAGCTTGACAGTAACAGCTTGAAGAGACCAACACTGCTCAAGAGCGAACACATACATTTATACAGAAAGTTTAAAACGGTACTATAAACCAATTAAATACTAAATAGGAGGACCAAAGTTGTTCCGTCACCAATAACAATTTCAATGCATTTGGTTTAATATTTGTATTTGTTACACGCTTTATATTAGCTTCACCTGTATGTATGTATGTATGTATGTATGTATGTAACCGACTCCTTCGGACTCGATTTTGACCCACATTAAACGGACAGAATTAATTCAAACTTTGTACACTTATAAAGAATCAGCGACAATATAATAATTTCATAGGTTTATCTCGAAAAAACAATGAAATTTTTTTTAAGTCCACAATGCAATATGATTAAATTGAGACAACACGTATTGCTGCTAGGACTAAAAAGTGGAAAATAAATATAGTTTAAAAAAACTGAAAAACACGCTTTTAAAGCACATCAAACTAAAAAGTGGTTTGCTGAGTGGGTTGCTCGATAGACGAAAAATATGGCACAGAGCGCCCCACGCTTTTTCACAATAATACCAGTATTTTTTGTTCATTACCATTTTCAGCCTAAATTAGGAACTATTTTTCACTTTTTAGTTTGATGTGTTTTAAAATCGTGTTTTTTAGTTTTCTTAAACTATATATATTTTTTTTAAATTTTAATTTGTTTTTTTTTATTTACAGTGTAAACTTTTTATAACGAATTTCAAGGGACCGAGCATTTTTATTCGATATAGGGAGGGAAGAATTAAGATATGGGTTGTGTGTTAAACCAAACAAATTTTACGCATTTTCACGTTATAGAGAGTTTTTCGTTATAACTAATGACTTTATAAAGAGAACACTGTATTTAAATTTAATATTTCTTAATCTACTTTATTGTCATTTACTTTTACTATATTATTTTTTTTCTAATTATAATTGTAAGTTTTCTTTTGAATGTTGTGCACACTCGTGCCCAATGCATGTATTACGTTTTTGTATGTGGTGTTTTCTCTGTATGTGTTTCGTTAGTGTGCCTTTTAAAAATAAATGAATACAATTATTTTTATATCTTGACGGGCTTTGGTAAATGAAAAGACACAATTTCCTAATTGAATCGGTAATTTCAAAAAGAACATTAGTTACAATCTGCTTACTTTTCAGGAGACATAAAAAACTGATTCCGCAGAGTATTTTCTTTTGAAGTCTTGTAGATTTTTCTCACAAATTATTGAATTAATTAGTCTGAAGTAGCACATATATAGTTTTTTATTGTACTACTTGAATTTTTTGAGATATTTATAATATTTGGACTTGTGTTGTTACTGCAACTAATATGGGAAGAATATTTTATTTTATAACTTATATCTATCACTTATCCTATATTATATTATTCCATATCATCCACTGTTGTTGTTGCCCAATCAAAATATATTGTTTGATAAAATTCTATGTAAGTATCAGGAATGTAACTTTCTAATGTAAGTTCGGGACAAATGTTCTTTCTGAAACGTTATTTATGTTGTTTCTGCAAAGTTCTTACACACCTCAGTGGGACTAATGTTGTTTCTGCATCTACTGACATTTTCAATCCCACGTAGCTCCATTGATATTCATCGGACTAATGTTCTTTAGGGATTTATAGATCTACCCTCAAGGGTACCATAGACAACAATAACTCAAAACACACAAATTTGGACTAATGTTCTTTTTGAAACTACCGATTCAATTTATATCAGTGCCATGTTCAATTATCTACCCAATATCGTTATAAGCGGCGTAAGCGGCTCCACTATGCAGATATTGTTCAATCAGGTCAATGTATGTAAGAATTGGTTACCGATTCTTTACCTGTATATTTAAGTATTAATATAGTAGCTACTTTATTTTAATAATAACATTTTCGTTTTGTTCCTTGTGTATTCCAAAATATGGAAATCTGTCACCAGCAACACTTACTTTCAGCAACTTAAAGCTGAGTTGGGCCCATTTTTGCTGAAAGTGATTGTGTTTGCACTTCTTTATTTTTATATGTGTAATGTGTTTTAATCAAATAAATATTTTATCTATATTTTTTTTCAAAATTGTTTATTCAGTATTTTACGGTGCTCATATTAGACCAATAGAGAAAAAAAAACTATACTGCAGCAGTGTTGGGCTAGTGTCTTCAGCGTACGACTCTCATCCCCAGAGGTCGTAGGTTCTACCCGGGCTGTGCACTAATTAAACTTTGTCTATGGGCGAATTTAATAGTCGCTCGTGAAAGAATACACTCAAAAGGCCGACGGCGTATCAAGCACAGGAGGTTGATGACCTACTTGGCTATTAGAACTACAAAAAGAATACAAAACAGATACAGAACTCTGAGACCTTGTAGTACCAGTTTTTAACAATAGCCGAGTTGAACAAATATAACCATAGTATAAAAAAAGTATGTGGAAGAAAATTCTGTATTAATTTCATGAATGTGTTTTAAAATAAATATTGACTTACACTGGCAGTAAGAGAGAGAAACGCGAAGTACTTCCTCAGCGTCGGCAGTAGGGGCGCGTACGAAGGCAAACGTGCCCGTACTGCAGCCGCGTGCGCAGGCGCAGCAGCCGCCATCTGACCCACTGCCAAGGCCATATATGCCCCCACCATCGTGTGCTCCATATGGGAGCCCGCACGAGCTAACACTGGAATACATTTAATAACATTTATTTTAATAATTATTTGTTTAACTGTAATATCAGCCAGGGCAAGTTCTAAAGATATTGTGAACTTCAAAAATTAAATCTTAAAAGTGATAAAATGGGTCTCGGTCCACGACCCAGCGGATTCATGACGCCTATGCTCTCCTCCTGTACTCGACCGGATCGCTTTTAGAATTGTATAATAATCTTATATCGAAAATTCTAGTGTCACAATGTTAGTTACCATACTTCTCCGAAACGGCTTGACCGATTTTTATCAAATTTTATATGCATATTCCCCTAAGTGATAAGGAGTGTCCACACCAATTTTTTTTTGTTTTTAATTTTTTTTAAGTACAACATACAAAAATAGTTATTTTTATTGAACTAAAATTTAGATGTGTAAACTAATATGTAGAATGTTTCCTAGAAATAATATACATGGCAAAACAATGTTTGCCGGGTCAGCTAGTAATATTATAAAATTCAAAAATCATAAATGCATTTACATGCAGCCTATGTTACTCAGGGATAACTACTAAATGGTGATTTTTTTCTTAAATTGGTGTAGGTAGTTTTGGAGTTAGTTCGTCTACATACAAATATTTCCTCTTCTGTTTTACTTTTAATTTCACAAATAAATTCTAAGTTTTCCGTAAAATATTTACATTAAATTAGAATAAACCGTCCCTGTAACCTAAAATAATAATTACCTTACATACCTGCTTCCACGCTTATAATAACCGTGGAAGCAGGTTATGTGAGGCTGTACTTTCTCACTCAGGTATTTTTTATAAGCGTGGAGTTTACCTAAATCGACGGAGATACGCCCCGAGAGTATAAGACACAGCAGACACTCTCTTCAACTTTTACATTACTTTAATTTAGAATTCGTTTCATAGCATTTAATTATTTGGCATTTATTATATTGTTGTACGTTAGTTGTTAATATTTAGTAAAAATAAAATCTTTTATTATTTAAAGCATCCTGATGACCCAGGAGCCGTACAAGCCGTTTTTGTAAAACCTTATGATAATTTAATAAACACTGAATTCAGCTATATCCTATGTGGCGGGAATATTCCTCCACCGATTTCGGTCCTGCGCTTCTTTTACAACCGTGTATATTTTTAAAGAAGACGAGTCATTGACTTGAGGGCCTTCGGTGTTGCTAATCACGATGAGCTTCTCTAGGTTTCCAACGCCCCTACGCATTATGTGACCGAAGTAGGAAACTATTTTTTTTTATCACAAAATTAGGAAACACAACAAATAAATTGTCGTACATACAAAAATATGAAAAGCGGTGCCGTCTATACAACATGCGGACTCGAACAGGAAATGATGCAGGCATATAGTTGACAAACATTAACGGGTTTGTCAACTATATGCCTACAGGCGTTTAAAACACTGAAATATATACATAAAACTCACATTTAGCGACAGTTTCGTCAATGTCGTCCGGTTGTTTCTTGTTATGACTCTCATCCTTTTCGCCGTCCAACAGCGCATCTGTATTCTCTTCAGCTCGCCTGCAAAAATCGAAGGAACACAATCATTATTTAGAAACTAGGTATTAGGTCCATATTCTAATTCGTATCAATCACGTCATGTGCTGTCAAAATATGTTGACACTTCAAATAGAAAAAATGGTTTGACAGCTCTTGCAACTATTGAAACATACCCAAAAAGGAGCCTGGATTATTCTCCAGTAAGCACACAAGTATTTAGATAAATAAGGTATATAAATGACGAGCAGTTGGCCTAGAGGCTTCAGCGTGCGACTCTCATCCCTGAGGTCGTAGGTTCAATCCCCGGCTGTGCACCAATGGATTTTCTGACTATGTGCGCATTTAACATTCGCTCGAACGGTGAAGCAAAACATCGTGAGGGAACCGGCTTGCCTTAGACCCAAAAAGTCAACGGCGTGCGTCAGGCACAGAAGGCTGATCACCTACTTGCCTATTAGATTACCAAATGATCATGAAACAGATACAGGAATCTGAGGCCCAGACCTAAAAAGGTTGTAGCGCCATTGATTTTTTTAATGTTGATAAATATCTATCGAGCATAGTTGGCTTCGAATCACGGCACCAAGGAAATTTTGTTTCTATATGCGCAATCAGTACTTTCTCCAACTGTGAAGGCAAACATCGTGAGGAAACCGGTTTGTTCGAAACCCAAAACATGTGTCATACAGAAAGCCGATCACCTTGTTCATAAAAAAGAAAACGGATGCAATCTGAGGCCAAGGTCCATATATGGCTAAATGATTTTTATTAATAATTATCAGTGTAATTATTGCACTCTTAACTAAAGTACTTTTTTGTCTCTTCCTGTTAAATTGTGTTTACGCTGCGACGAAAAGAGATATAAGTATTTTTAGAATGGTGCAAACCCAGTTAAAATAATAAAAAGTATAGTTTATTTATTTATTTATTTATTTAGTTATAAAGCCCACAACATCACACACAGTCATAAGTCCACCAACTATTTCACAAAATCCCACATCTAAAATGTGTGACAGTTAATGCAAGCATAAGTTTCTCAGTAAAAAAATCAAATAGAAATTAAAAAAAAACACAACTAAAACACACACGACAATGCAAGCACACATTAAAATAAAATCAATTTTTTAACATAAACATAAAATAAAATAAAATTTTCAACCACTATGTGCAGAAAAAAAAGAAAAATCATCAGAAAAAAAAGAAATTAGGTTCTAGAAAGGCACCCCACAATGCTTTCTCTAAAACCGATCAGCCCACTACCGAATATATCCAGCTCTGGATACGCTGTGTTCAATTTGTTGAAATCGCGAAGAATTCGAACGAGAGGTGCCTGAACTCCTAGGTTGGTTTTGGCAGATGGAATTTGGAATATATTGTTAATTTTAAACCTAGGGAATGAGTAAGGGACGACAAATTTGATTTCCTGTAAAAGGTCACTGTTCTGTAAATGGTTGTTGAGCAATTTATACAAGAATGTAACACCGGCTAGAGCTCTCCGATTGTTAAGAGATAACATATTAAATTTTTTAAGTCGCTGATGGTACGGTTGTCTATGTGAAAATCCTCTGCTTATGAAAGCTAGGTGTCGCGTAAAAGATCTTTGTATGCTTTCAACGCGTTGCGAATGGATCGCATATAGTGGATTCCATATAATACTACCAAACTCAACATGACTGCGCACCAGAGCGTTGTACAAAATTGTTTTAGTCGTACAACCAAAACAATCCGCATTCCGTTTAAGAAATCCATGCATTCGTGCGGATGTGGTGACTACTTTATTGACCTGCGATGTAAACGTTAATTTTTTGTCAATAATAACACCCAAGTCACGAATCTCCTGAACCTCCTTCAATGGCGCGCCGTCAAGCTTATACACAGTAACAAGTGGTTTTTTTTTCTTGTGTATTTAATATGAAAGCACTTATTTATATTGAGGATCATACCATTTAAAAAGCACCAATGTTGTATACCATTAAGGTCACTTTGCACTAGAGCAGCATCACAGACAGTGTTAATAACTTTATAAATTTTTAAATCATCAGCGAAGAGAGACGATTTACAGTGCTTTATATGATTCTTAACGTCGTTTACAAATAGTAAGAATAGCAACGGTCCCAAATGAGATCCTTGCGGTACACCAGATCGCGCAATATAGGGAGTAGACTCAGCGCCTCCAACAACTACTGACTGAGGCCTGTTACGAAGATAGGACCTAAACCAGTTTAGCAAATTCTCTCCCATTCCATAACCACGAAGCTTCTGAATCAGTAACGCGTGACTGACTTTGTCAAAGGCATTGCTAAAGTCAGTATATATGGCATCAATCTGGCGCCCACGATCTAATTCCTGACATGTTTCAGTAACAAAAGACATGAGGTTCGTTTGAATTGAACGGCCTTTTCTGAAACCATGTTGCTCATCAACGATACAGCCGTCTAAACATTTGGAGATTACGGGATACAGGACAGACTCAAAGAGCTTGGAAAAACAAGATAAAATACAAACAGGACGGTAATTTTTTACGTCGGTGATATCTCCCTTTTTATACACAGGTACAACACGAGACCTTTTCCATACTTCAGGAAAAACACCATCTTTAAGAGATCTATTATAAATAATAGTTAGGGGCAAAGATAACCCAAATCTACATCGTTTTACAAAGATAGGAGGAATCGAGTCTGGCCCAGCTCCTTTGTTAGCATCAAGACCTTTTATTTTCTTAGATATTTCATCCTCTCTAAAGCTAAGGGACATTAGGCCGTCAACATTGCCAATGTCGTCTGGAGTGGAACTGCCAACAAGTGATTCATCACAAGTATATACAGATGAAAATTGATATGAAAAAAGATTAGCAATATCAGGTGATGACTGGGCTGTAACATTGTCCATTTTCATGCAAGAGGGAAGCGATGAGTGACCACCTTTCCTATTTTTAATAAAACTCCAAAAACATTTAGGATTATTAGGAATACTTGCCTCAATATTTCGCTTATATTTAGTGTAGCAATCATCATAAAGTTTGTGACAACGTTTTCTAATAATGTGATACTCTATTTCGTCTCGAGGATTCTTGTATATTCGATACCTCTTACGTGTTTTTTCTTTTTCAGCAAGTAATTTTATTAAGGAAGAACTGAACCACACCGGATACTTAGATTTCGTGATGGTCGTATTAGGTACAAATTTGCTTATAGTGGTGTTAAGAATTTTGTAGAACTTAGATACCATATCATTAACATCATCATGAGCGCGTAGGCTATCATTCCAATCAATGGTTTTCAGATCCCCTATTATAGACACATAGTCAGCTTTATAAAAATTTAGTTTAGTGTTACCTCTCGTTCGCAAAAAGGATATTTTAGAATATTCAAAACTTAACAATAAACTAGGATGATTCGCGTATATTTTACTTAACGAGTCGGAGGGGGCTGATACATTAATACTAGACATATTACTTAATACTAAATCTAAGAAACGATCATCGCTATTACCTATACTATTAAATTGCTTTAGGCTATTCATAGACATAAAATCAATCAAGGCAAAGCCAAGTGTATTGTTATAATTACAAGGTGTCATAAAAACTTCATTATTTAACGATCTCCAATCAATGAACCCTAGATTGAAATCACCTAGAATAATGACGTCATCGCTTAAGTTTAAAGCTCTGTCAACGCTGTCTAAAAAATGTGTCAAAGTCCCAATCTTTACAGGAGGAGGTAGGTATACTACACATATCGAAAGTTTCTTTATTATTTTATTAATATTTATATGTAAGGTGACCCAGTATAGTTTAAAAAACGTACCTGGCGAGATCGACCCTCTTGTGGAACAAATCCAGAATAAGGTCTAAAGCTGAAACACTCCGTGAAATGACATCATTTTCCCGATTCACTCGTATCCTTAAACTTAGCAGCCGTTGCGTGTTAATTTCGTTGTTTTGTACTAGATTTATTAGTAACATTAAAACCTGAAATAAAAGCAAATATTAATAAATAATTAAAATTTCAATTGACTTTGTGTAGCAAGTACGTTTATGAATATATTACGAGCGATATCTTTCTAAGTCTTCGTGAGAAATATTTTGTAATGATTACATTCACCAATATGAAATAGGTGTCTTTTTTTTTCAGATAACTACATATATATTATTTATTCAATGCTATAAAATAAAAAATGTCGGCTTTATTCAAATATTTGTTATTTAATTCATCTGTCAAATGAGTGTGGCATTTGTTTGTCGAATAATGCGACGTTGCCTCACTTTCCGAGTGTCATTTGTTTTTAAAATAATGCGACGTTGCCTCACATTCCGAGTGTTATGTTGTTTTTAAAATAATGCGACGTTGCCTCACTTTCCGAGTGTCATTTGTTTTTAAAATAATGCGACGTTGCCTCACTTTCCGAGTGTCATTTGTTTTTAAAATAATGCAACGTTGCCTCACTTTCCGAGTGTCATTTGTTTTTAAAATAATGCGACGTTGCCTCACTTTCCGAGTGTCATTTGTTTTTAAAATAATGCGACGTTGCCTCACTTTCCGAGTGTCATTTGTTTTTAAAATAATGCGACGTTGCCTCACTTTCCGAGTGTCATTTGTTTTTAAAATAATGCGACGTTGCCTCACTTTCCGAGTGTCATTTGTTTTTAAAATAATGCGACGTTGCCTCACTTTCCGAGTGTCATTTGTTTTTAAAATAATGCGACGTTGCCTCACTTTCCGAGTGTCATTTGTTTTTAAAATAATGCAACGTTGCCTCACTTTCCGAGTGTCATTTGTTTTTAAAATAATGCGACGTTGCCTCACTTTCCGAGTGTCATTTGTTTTTAAAATAATGCGACGTTGCCTCACTTTCCGAGTGTCATTTGTTTTTAAAATAATGCGACGTTGCCTCACTTTCTGAGTGTCATTTGTTTTTAAAATAATGCGACGTTGCCTCACTTTCCGAGTGTCGTTTGTTTTTAAAATAAAACGACGTTGCCTCACTTACCAAGTGTCATTTGTATGTCCAACAGTCCGGTACACTTACCAAGTTTATATTTAGTTATGTTATAGCTTTACAATGAAAGGAATACAAATTATATGAATCATCAATAATATTTTATTTTACAATTAATTATTTTATGAAAATACTAGTTTAAGCTTTATTTTATCCAAATTGATCGACTTAGATATAGTTATGCTACAGTGCTGTAAAAAAATATACTTACACAGACGGAAAAATCAAAGTTACTGGTGTCTGGTATAAAATTGTCCTGATTATTTAACATGGTGAGGCACATCTCCATCACCGACGGTTGTTCACCAATTACTGAGGCACCCAATGATGATGCTGAAATTTGTTAAAGTAATTACTGTTATGACGTAGATATACTATAGTATAAATCTAATACATAAAATTCTCGTGGCACAATGTTCTGATTCTTATGAATTTTTTATGCATATTCAGTAAGTCTGAGAATCGGAGAATCTTTTAAACCCCTAAGTGATAAGGGGTGTCGTCCACCCCAAAAAAAATATTTTTATTTTTTAGACAATTTTTTTTATGATATATCATACAAAAATACATACAACCCTTAAATTTCACCCCTCTACGATCAACCCCTATTTTTATTTGTTAATTAAAATCTTATGACTTGAACTCTGAGGTTATTATAGAGAAAAATTCACAGAAAAACCTAAAAAGTTTTCATTCCAGAAAACCGAACAGTCTCTGGGGTAGTATAGCAAAATGTTCCATGTTGGTATGTATGTACTAAAAAGGTAGGCTAAGTAAAATCATATTAAGGTGAATCGTAGTTCGCGGGGTCAGCTAGTATGTCGAATAATAATTTCTTCCATCCATCGATATGGCGTCATGTGGGTACAATATTTTATTTAAATTTATTTCTTTTAACACTACAAATATCGCTTTATGCTTAAATTATAACGGGCGGGTTCAAGGCACCGATCTTACGTTTAATCACAGTCTACTAGACCCAACTCGGTCCAACATCTCAACCCCACAACGTTCCACTGAACAATCAATCAGTACTGTCTTGCATTCCCTGAACGCACTGACCAAAGTCAAGATGGCATTTTGCTCTGATTGTTCGTAACAATATTCGCATTTTTATTCGTTAAGTAATGATTCTAAACTATGAAACAAATATAACCAAATATAATGAAAATAAATTATGATTCTTAAAAGTAATAGAAGGAATCTCAATGATTGACTCGACCATAACATTTCTTGATAATTCGAGAATTCCCATACATACATATACTTATCTATATATATAAAAATGAATCCCTTTCCCTTGGTCGCGGCATGAACGGCTGGACCGATTCGCTAATTCTTTTTTGTTGTGTTTGTTATTGTCAGGAGAAGGTTCTTATGAAAAAAAAATTTAGAAAATTTCGCGGAAAATTAGAAAATTTTAGAATACTTAACCACCATACAATTCAAACTTTTTTGATGTAACCTTATGGTGTTTGACATAACATTGACAGAATGCGTGCTGCTAATATCGTCGAAGAGGATGTAAGAAAAATTTATATCGTTTAAAATAAATGCTTCGATCGGAGTTATTATATTCATAAAATTTATTTAAAATATTTAAAAAATATTTAAAAAATATAAAATATGTAATAGACTATACTTATAACTAGATCAGCACAATACATCAAAAAACTTTTAAAAAGGGAGACAAGAAATTGTATGAGCTAATATGTAGGTATATAATATATCGATTCTGCTGAACGTGTTTATGTCACTGTACTCCTCTTTAACGCATGGACCGATTGGAATGATTTTTTTGTATGCGTTTGGGTGACGCCCTGGACGGTTTAGATTCACAAATCAGCCCAGCAGATGGCGCTGCAGTCGGTACTATCATACTTTTTTAATATACTAATCGCTTGAAATATCACGCAGGACAACGTCTGTCGGGTCCGCTAGTACAGACATATATATACACGTATGATACTATAAAAGTCCTTTCATATTGGTTGGTAATTGATAAGATTGTACCCACTGAAAATCTGTGCGACTTAAAACTGAGTTTAAAGTGATTGAACTTTTGTTATTTTTGTGTTGTTTAATTTTAACTAAATAAATATTTTTTAAGATTAGCTAATTCAATGAAGAAATTGGTCGTATACACAAAGAATAACAATAGATTCTAATTAAGGGACTATATTAATTTAATGTATGTCTACAAGAGGAATATTATCTGACAATTTAAGGAAAAAAATTGTTGTTTTTTAAAATCTTAAAAAAAAATGATTTTTTTTAGTATACAGCATATATATTTACAGTTAAAACCGGTTTTTAGATAGAACGCGTTATTCCTAGTTAGAACGCGTTTTTACTAAACGCCGTTGTTAAAACTAGAATTACCTAATGCTCACAATTGAATATCAGTTAAAACTAGTTTGTCTTGCAATAACAAGTAGATCGTCATCTTTTTTAATTTTAAGGTTGTTTGATTATTTTTGAAGTGAAACTTCTTTATCGGGGTTGGAAAAAAATTTAGTGTAACATTTTTGCGTTACGCGTCACATTTTTCCGTTACGTGCCATGTTGCTTTTTGAAGTCAAACTTCTTTATTGGCGTTAAAATATGACATATAGTATGTTTTTGACTTTGAAGTTTGACAACGGATTACATTTTCGAAGTTAAACTTCTTTATCGGCGTTAAAATATGACATATAGTATGTTTTTGACTTTGAAGTTTGACAACGGATTACATTTTCGACTTGAAATTTGCTAATCTCAATTTGCAGCAATTAATTTGTAAATTGTATGCTAGGCAGTGTATCAAAATTTACTGTGTTTAAAGAAATAGTTTCTAATAAGGTCATAAAGAAGTTTCACTTCTTACGTGTGTACACCTAGTACACGCACACATTTTTTTATTGTATGTTTACCAATATCCCTTAAAAATATTATTATAATGTTCCTTTTTTAAATTTTATGGTTGTATTCTGTTGATTTGTTTGATTATTTTATTTACTTTTAATTAATGTTGTCACCTTGGCAACTACTTTATGCTGATGTTCCCTATAATGTTCCTTTAGTGTAAGTTTTTTTTTACTAGGTACGGTACTATGTTTCTATACCCTAGATCTTTTTAATAAATTTTTTTTTAAACTTTATCTTGTTTTCAATCCCAAAATTCAAATTAGTTTCTCTAGTGCTAGTTGTAACTAAAGCTCGGAGTGACAACTAGTTTTATCAGAAAATGAATTATATCAGTGGTAAATTCTAGTTTTCACTTGTTATTTCTAGTTTTGACAAAGGCATTTAGTAAAAACTATTTTTAACTAGGGAAAACGAGTTTTAACTAAAAACTAGTGTTAACTGTAACATATATTTACAAAAATATTCTACAGTATAGGACTTCCTTTCTTGATTCTACGAATAATGTATGTACTTACAATTTCCACCAAACGAATGCGACAAATTAACCAACACTTTAACAGCTGGTAATGCTGCATCTAGCAATGCCGTGCGCAGACGCACGTGTTCCCGAGCTTCGCTCACGCATCGCCTTAACAGAGTTGCCAAAGTGCTTGCCGCACCTAAATTGCCCGATGTAAGATGCTGCTGGTTCGCTTCATTCATTTGGGTCACCTGAAAATTATAATTTATTTACATATTACAGATTATAATTGAATAATTATTTCTATACGCTACCCTGTTCAGTTACACAAATATATTTTAAAATAAATTATAAATACACTTTTATTGAATTGAGCTTACATAGGTTTAGCAATACACAGTTAGTTTAAAACAGTTGTATAATTAAATTAATTGTTATTAACTGTAATGTATTAAAATTCCCAAAGAATTAGATAAAAATAAAATCAGGTCCTAACCTATGGCTAAGTAATTTTTGAATATATAATAATTTTACACAATTAAAGGTGTGATGAAGTATTAATTTTACACTTTACTAATATATAAAGAACCAAGTTTTTAGTACTCACATTCTCAAGCACCCGCATACACCGATCAGCTTTGCCCAATATATCTAAATGTGATCCAGTCCAGGAGGCAGCAGGCACTTGCAAGCGTTCAACGCAATCCTGTATTGTTCGGACAATGTGGTCCACACCTCCAAGGTTCCGGAGTTCCTCCTTGAACCACTCTCCAGCTCGCTTTGATGTTAGGGACAGTAGTGTTTCCATTGCTAGATGACCCACCTTAGATAAACATTATTTGTGATGTTAAAATAACTGGCTATATGATAAAAAAAGAGAATAATGTTCTAAAAAATCGTAATTGAACCACTTCTTTTTAAAGTATCAAATGTATTTTTTCATTTACACATTGTATAAGAATTAAATGATAATACATATTAACAAACAAAAAACCACATGGTGCAACAGATGGCCCTATCGCTACAAGGTCATCTCTTCTAGGTAACCATAATTAAAGAAAACATTAAAAAAAAAAAGAAATATGACGAAGTGCTATGCAAGTGAATACTTATAAAACCTAATAAGTTCTAGTTATAGGACACTACTGAGTGGATTCTAAATTTTATAAATTACGTTTGCCCTTTACGTTATAATCATTAGTATGTTTAGTGTTTAGACTCTTTAGGATAGATCACAGTATTTAAAACAATCACATAAGGTCAATATATTTATATTGATCCACCCTTCAATAACAACAAAAGGGTGTTTTCGTTTAGGCCCAGACAGATTACTGATTATGTATTTATTTAACGGTTTGTTAATCAATAAATACAGTCTAAAACTGGTACGTATTAGAGCTAATAACTCACCGTGATATTATCCAGATCTAAATGTTTCGCCTTTCCTTGATTTTTGATTTCAGCGCACAATTCTCTCACCCTTTCTTGGGTCTTAGCGAGCTGCGACGAAGTCAACCCGCAATCGTCTAAGGCATTTCTGAGAAAAACATGAATAAATAACCATGTATAATTTTTTAGTGTTTTTTTCACTCTATGCAAAAACTAAATGTATTTTGATACAAATATGACGCAGATGCGTCAGATGTTTCGTGAACTTAATGACAATGTAAAACAAAGAAACACGAGATTAATTCAATTCAACTGAGGTAAAATCAGAATTTCCTTATATCTGTAGTGACACTAAGACCACTTCACAAATTAAAAATCTGTTGTTAACAATCTCACTGATTGTAAATATTATTTAAAGTTTTAATAAGTTTCTTGTTGGATTTTTTTTTATAGAAGCCTGAGTGATTAAGAACAAGAAAAATGTATAAGGCGGCAAGTATTGGCATATGGCAAAAAAGGGAAAAGGGTGAATACTATTATACATTTTCTAATAACGTTTTGACGAGAATAATTAGATGAGAAAATAGTTATATCGTCTGCATTTAGTATACTGTATGACGGCTACTTCGTATCTATGGCAATTCATCAACAAGTCGAAACTTGTCTGAATCATGCTATTATTGTGTGGTGTTAGCGAAAATTTGACGCGTTAATTAACGACATTTATTAATACAATTAGTATTTAATTTAGTCATATAGGATTTTTATGTTATTTTTTATTATTAATTAGTAGTAATAATTATACCAGTTGCAGTACTTGGTTTTGTATGTTTGTAACAAAACCGTAAATCTTTCATCCTTTAGCAGAACATTTTAAGAATTAATTAACGAGTCAGGACAGATACTCCTTACATAGCCTGATCCCTTCTGGTATTTCTAATACATATAAATATTTTCTATTGGTATGAAAAGTAATAATTAAATGTGGTTATTTTATATATATCTTACTTGTGAGAAGCATCAGACTCCAATAGATTCAACATGAGTTCCAGAGACTCCCGATCCAAATCCATATTGAGACGATCTTGCGAGAGTACAAACATCACCGTGGCTGTACATAGTGCCAAACTCTGAAAATTATTGAGAATAAATGTAAAAAAAAAAAAAATTATTACTCAACATTATAAAACGATAATTCACGAAATAAGTAAAGTTAACTTATTTTTTATTAACTTAAACTTCAAATAACTTTTGATATGGTTAACATGTTCAACATCAAGGGGTAGTTTGATCCTTGTTGGAAACAATAAGTAATAATAGGCTATTTCGATTTTACAGAATGGTACCCCTAAGTTTGAAAGTTGATGGTCTTTTAACATACGGAGTTTCATGTTATATATCATATTAACTGTAATGTTTACAAATTAAAATGGATATATTTTCAGCAATATAATTGTTTAAAAAACACAGACAAATGTGTGTGTGAAAATAATGTTACATCCGATATCGAGGATTTCTTAGTAAATTACTTTGGTTTTCCATACTTAGACGCTCACTAGGTCCGTTATACGTGAAATACTCTTACCAATATATACAAATTTTTATTACTTACAGGATCATTGGTGGCGTCATGTAAAGCACTGAAGAATTTCTGCACAGTGCCGTGCGCCCGCAAATGCATACGGAACGCCGGCGCAGTGCATTTACTGGCTAACGTGATCACTGACAGACAACGGGTTGACATTGGGTTGTTGTCCTGGAAAAACATTTTTATATTAAAGTTAGTATAGCTAATATTAGATCTATCATCTAGATATGCGACACTCAACTGTGAGGTGGGTTTTTCTTTCGGGAATTTTTGTACTTGCTTTTACAGTATAATAAAACATTGTAGTAAATCCAGTAAGTTAAGTCCAAAATTGTTGAGAATTGTTTTGGTAGAGAAACTAACTATGATGAAATATACAGTTCAAGATATTAAAAAAACAAAACATTGGTGACAACTACTTTATATAACTCACTGAAAATATTGATTTTTTGAAGGCACTAAGAAGAATGAAGGAAAAAGTTTATCGCCTGTTTATGAATTCAATACCTGTTTTGTGTATTAGTCATGTCATGTAAATACTCTATTAACTAAACCATTACTGTTAAAAGAAAATAATAAAACATTATATGTGTACCTGTAAGGCATCAAGAAGAAATTCCACATCATCATTGAACTCTTGAAATTCGCCAATCTCTTGAATTTGATGGGCTTTCTTTACATTTCTTACAACAGTGTAGTACTGAAATATTTACAATTAAAATTAATATTTTTAAATATAATATATTTACAGAAATTATAGTTAAAAGAAACAAAATTATTTTACATTAAATAACAAGGATTTTTTAGTAAACAATTTGGTAATATAGTTCTTCAACCCAAGAACTTTTTTATAATATTTTACTGTTATCAAATAATATAAGCATTTATTAATATGCTTAAGATTTTATATCAAACTTCTTAGCATTATTAAGGGAACTTTACAGAAACTAGGGTCTAAATTGAGGTATATTTAAATGTTATGGTATAAATTGTAAAACAAACAAGATTGTGTAAAATAAGGTAATGTTTCCTTTTTAAAATTCAATAACAAAATACCTGTTTAGCCTCCTTTGCACATTTCACACTAGAGTAAGGTTTCACAGTTTCACTTGACATGGGATCATCAAGGATCGGATCGGCCGCTCTATATCTTGTAACTCGAGTAAGCTCCTCCGATACTTGGGCAGCTGGATTCTGTGCTTCTGTTGTCTCTGGCCTATCTGGCCTTGGAGTTTCATTTCCTTTCTGTAATTATTTTATATAAACTAAGATAATAATACTGGAACTAATAGTAAAGTTCATTACTAATTAAAAACTTAAATATTGGAGCAATACTGTAAACAATTACAAATATAGATAAGACTATTGTGTTAAAAAGATATTATAAAACAATAATATTTCATATTCATTAAAGCATTGTGATATGTTATGCAAGGCAGCAACAATTTATTGCTTAATTTAAATGTGTTAACAGTTACTTTTATGTAACAATGTGACATAACACTTGCCATAACTTAATGTTTCAACTAATTTAGAGAAGCCATCTGAAAAACAAAATCTTAGATTGAACAAGAAATTTCCTATATGTGTTTGATATAAATAATATTGTATACATTAACTGGAACAAAACAAACAAATATTTAAAAAATAACTTACATCATTGGCCCATTCATGTTTATACAAATGCCTCCTTTTTCTGGCTGGCAGAGGTGATGGATCATCATTTCCCAGAGATTTGCTTTTAAATATGGAGCCCTTTTTCTTTGTAATAACTAATTTAACACTTGGTTTGTCGTCATTATGTTCTTCTGAGTGTGGAGATTTGAACACATCTTGGCATTGTTTTTGTGATTCTTCTTCTGAGAGCTCATTTTGACAACTGTTATATGCAGAGTCAGATGATTGAGTTTGTGTTTGGATTTGAGCTTCATTTACTTCCTGTTGTATATCTATTAACTTTTCTTGCTCCATTAGTTGCTCATTAATTGCTACACTTAATTGGCTATTTACATCATCAGATATTACTTTTGATACCGGACTAGATTGCTTTTGCTTGCTTTTTTGTTTTTTATTTAATTTCAGCTTCAGTATAGTTTCACTCTTTTCATTGCCAGACAATATATTAATTAAATCATCATGTTCAATTGGTGGTTCTGTCCCTTTGTGTACATCAGTTTCTGTGTGAATGTCGGGTATTTCATTTCCTATAGGATTATCTGCTAGTGTCTCATGCTTTCTTCGTGTTTTCCTTGTTTCTTTTTTAATGTCACTAACAGTCTTTGTGGTTTGTTTAGACAGACCAGCTGCTATGTTATAAGCATCATCATCTGTTTCATTGTAATTTATATTAGGTCTATTTCTTCTAGACCTCCCTGATGCTGCTTCAGGTGGCTTTGGGTCTGGCGGTTCTTCATTCATATCATTAACATCATCTGGTGTTGAGTCTAGTTTAGCCAATTGTGTTTCTATAATATCTATCTGTTTAATCTTGTTGGGATTTTTGTCTGGTAAAGGTGTATGTACTGGTGATGCTAGCATATTATACAGTTCATAGTTTTCTGAGCCAGGCTGTGGAGAACTAGGTTTTTTAAGTGGTTCATCATCAGATGATGCTTTGTGATGTTTTTTATGAGATTTGTGTCCATCTTTTTTATCTTTCTTCTTTTCTTTTTTAGCTTCTTGACTATAACTTGAACATTTTATAGTTATTTTTAATCCTTCATGTTTTGGCGAACAAATTGCTTCCATAGAAGGGCTTTTTTTATGATCTAAGCCTAAATCTGAATGATTATCCAGTGAAGAGTGTCTATCTGATCCCGGTGAGGTGAAACCTTCATTAGAATCTGTACTAACAATTCGAGAGGTTCCCTTTGAAATGCGTAGAACTATTGGAGGTGGTTTACGTTCCTCATTGCTATCTTTACTTGTTGATGGACTAACTACTTCCAGTTTAGTAGATGAAGGACTTGCAATAGTATTTTGCAAAGGGCTTGCTGTTAAGGGACTGGCTTTAGGAGTAGACACTTTTGGCTGCAACGGTTCATATCTAGTAAATTCTGGTATTGGGCTATTACTTCCATCTTCTGCATAATTGATCACCTTATCCCGATTACGAACCAGGTAACGCTTATTTGGTGGTTGTGATGGTTCTGAGGAATCTTCTTTTCTGGCTGCTTTAGTCGCAACATAATTCTTTTTACCTCTAGACTTTTCAGAGTTCCTTCTAGGCAATTCCGGAGATGAAGAGTCTCTGTTATATCTAGTTTTCTTAGTTTTCTTTTCTTTTGTGGTATGCTCAGGCGATAATGGTGCTGGAAGCACAGGCGGAGCATAAGTGATTTGTGGCACTGGAGGATATGGTTCAGTATTCCTAGATTTAAAAAACTTCTTGGGTTTTGGTGGAGGTGCCTCAGTTTCAACTGCTGGCACTGTCAGTGGACTATTTTGGTCCTGAACAGGTTTCTTGTTACTGTTGCTTTGAAAGGCTGAAAAAGATATAAATCATTAAAGACTATTTTAAAACATTCAGGGACCATACTATAACTAACTATATAACTATAATATAGCTTAGAAACTTAATAAACAATATCTCTTACCGTAAGGAGCGCTTCTAATCGATGTAAAACTGGTGATTCCCCATTTCCCGACTGTTCCCGCGGACCGGGCTGCACTTGGACAATTACTATTTTCTCTGAAGAGGGCACTATCAAGCGGCACGGCCACGCTGCCGCTTCGGCCTCTGCCCCAACGAGACATTCTGATAATTTCATCAAAAACGATGACACCTGCGCCGTCTTGACAAACCACTCTCTAAATGTCAAAATAATAAGTAGTCCATGACGCTACCAACCACAATCGTATTCCTTATTTTTGTATCTTATATGTCTTGGGCAGTTTTTCACTACAATCACATAAAACTAGTCTAAGAGAAAGAAAAACAAAACCCTAAAGATAACACACACCCGCCATTTTCACAAATTATAGTATAAGTGCGGACCACTTTCCTCGGGGACGCAATCGAATGTACAATTTATCCCAAACGATAATTTATCACCTTTAAGACAAAGCTCCTTTTAATTAAATAATTAATTAATCGTCCAAACATTTGAGGTAGTAGAAGTTATTAAATATAGTTACAAACAAGACACAAAATACGATGTTGTCATCTCATAGCACTAGCCGCGCCATATTGGTAAAGCAAAACAAGATGAGAATTTCAACCAATAGGAATACGAGTGCCATAAACAACTTTTACTTGTATTTCCTATCCTTGTCTATGATAAATTTAACCGGCACAGGTAAAAAATGTGTATGTTGCGTTTGCATTTAACATCCACTATGTAAAAACTTCTTAATGTAAGTTTATTTATTTATTTATTTTATTTATTTATTTATTCCTTATTTCCTATTTTTACAGTAACTTAATACTAATACAATAGAAAACTAACTTAAAACATAATATAACCATAACAAGTAAAAACTTAAAAAAACCTAAACAATTTTATAACTAATTATAAATAATGAAATTCTTGTGAATTCAGCCAGTGTGCAACTAAATATATCCGTCTCACAAGCAATAGTGTTTAGGGTGCGCAAAACACGCGTAAATGGTGCTTCTCTAAGTAAATTCGTCCGCGCCCGAGGCACTGCCAGCAATTGCGACCGCTTACTCCGCCGAGTGTGGTTATTTGGCACACGCAGCCCCAGTCTTTCCAATATTTCCGCATTATATATTTTACCTCTAAGGATCTTAAAATAATATAGCGTGATAGTAAGGTCCCTCCTTACCTCTAACTTGTTGTATCCAACCATGCCCAAGACAAACAAAGTTGGATACATTATTGGGTAAAATGGGTACACTCCATACAACCTCATGTATATGTATCTCATAAATTTATTTTGGATGCGCTCCACCATTAGAGAATATTTTTTTTCTTGTGGGGCCCAAATCATAGAATTATATTCCAAGTGGCTCCTAACAAGTGCATTATACAATGCCATTACCGCTTTTATATTTGAAAATCCTTTGGCCATACGCAAAATAAACCCTAAATTCCTATAAGCTTTTTTACAAATTATTTTTATGTTATCCCGAAAATTTAATTCCACGTTTAAATGAACCCCTAGGTCTTTTATTTCGGCTACTCTTGAAATTGGCTGTTTCTCAATGTTATAATTATAAAGAATCGGTGTCCGTGCTCTGGAAAAAGAAATAACAGCACATTTTGCAGAATTAAGCTGCAGTCGATTTTTCCTGCACCAATTTACTACCCGATCAATATCCTGCTGCAATCGTAGACAATCTTCCTCACTATTAATCGGCCGTGATAATTTAAGATCATCCGCGAACATTAAACATTTTGCCTCTTCTACTACCCCTGGTAGATCATTTACCATTAACAAAAATTCTAAAGGTCCTAAATTGCTCCCCTGCGTCACGCCAGACCAAGTGTAATAGTTCCTAGATTTAATGCCATCATATTCCACATACTGCTCCCTATCTGTCATGTGACTTGCCATAAACCGAATCAATGACGCAGTGAAGCCAACTTTTGCTAATTTCATCAAGAGCACGTCGTTATCGACCGTGTCAAATGCTTTTCGTATATCAAAGTAGGCTGCATCAACTTGTCCTCCACTATCCACAACTGGTACTATGCAAGTCAAGAAGCTTAATAAGTTGCTCGTGGTACTTCTTGCTGCTCGAAATCCATGTTGTGAGTCAGAGAGTTGAGATCCTACCTGATCAAGAATGCACTTTTGAAGCGCTGACTCCATTACCTTCGCTGGTGTTGACAAAATCCCCACCGGTCTATGATGGTCTACTTTGTCACTTTGTCTACCTTTAGGTACCGGAACCACTTTGCTAATTTTCCAACGATCTGGGAATGTTGACGCTTTAAGGCTAAGATTGAATATATGGAGAAGGGGTTCCGCCAATACTGCCCGACAGTCTCTAAAGATATACGGAGGTATACCATCAGGCCCCGCGGACTTTTTTGGTTTTAAACGTTGTAAGGCATTCCGTACCTCCTCTAATTGCAACTTATCTACGTGAACCAACGTTCCCCCACTTCCACAATCCGCCTCCGCAATAGCTTTCTTAACGTCAAGCTTGGGCTTTTGCGTAACATACACTGAACTAAAATAATTAGCGAATTCCTCTACCCTCTTATCCATAGTTAACTCTTTTCCGTTACTAACAATACCCCTAGGCTGTCTTTCAGCCCTTTGGCTCTTTACAAATTTCCAAAATGACCTAGGATTTTCTATGACGTTCGTTTCAATAACTTTCTGATACCTATCAAATGCCTTAGCAATCCCTACCTTTACCTCAGCCCTACACAAGCTAAACGCTTGGTAGTCACCTTGCAACTTAGTTCTCTTATAACGCTTATGTAGCTTAGCTTTCCATTTTATTTTACGAATAATTTCATCATTATACCATTCCGGATACGCGTGTTTTGAGTGAACATATCCTTTTAGGGTTTCTTTTGGCACACAATCGTCAAAGATAGTATTTAAAATATTATAAAAGCTATCTAGACTCGCATCTAAGTCCGAAGAAAATATACTAGACCAGTCTGCTGCTCCTATCCTCGAATACAACATATCGTAATTGGCTTTTTGAAATTTCCATTTCAATGGTCTACCTACCTTATCTACCGCCTTCGTATATTTCACCAGGGACGCCGCCGATCGGGGCCATACACACACTTGAAGCGGTGGATGTTGTTTATCCACTGACACCAGAGGCTGATCAGATACACACACATTTACGCTGCTAACCCCCCCAACCTTGCATAAAACCAGATCCAAAATTCTTTCATTAATATTTTCTACTGAATTGCACTGACTGAATTCACAATAATGTAAAAAATAATCCTCAAAATAATTTCTAACCAAATTAGAACAAGAGTATAAATTGAAATCCCCTAACACTAATACACTACTATATTTGTGGCAATAATCTTCTATTATTTTAAATAATAACAAATATTCATGATCATTACTATTAGGAGGAATATATAGGACACACACAAAAAATAAAAACCTACTTTTTACAAAAACAGTCGCACAAACAAGTTCAAATGCCCGACACTCGATATATACATCGGTAGGCAATATCACTCGCCTCATCTCTAAACGCGGAGTGGCTATCAAACAGGCTCCACCCTGCTTGCGGCCGTCCGCGCGATCACATCGTAGTATAGTAAAGCCTATTGGAACAAACTCAGCATCAGCTATTGACTCATTACAGCCTGTTTCTGTGACAGCAATCAAGTCTGCCTCTGCTGTCAACACACTTGCGTTGAAGTTAACTAATTTAGTCCGAAGCCCCCTTACGTTTTGATAGAATATATCAATTGGTTTACTTCCACCCTTCTTTACTTTTGTTCGATCTCCGAAACCACACCCAATCACAAAATTCTATATTTACTGGCCAATTTTCAGGTTGACAGAGTACCTTATATTCACTTTCTGGTACACCAATAATAAAAGAAGCATAGTCCCTCTCTGTTTTATGATTTATCTTTTCTACGCTAACTGTCACATTTTTGTTATATATTTTTTTCACATAGCTTTCCAAACATTCCACCGACGTTTCCTTTTTTAAGCGCCATACGTGTAAAAACTTCTTCCGCTCGGTCCCTTCAATCTGTATAGCGTTTCTGCAATCACCCTTTTTTACCTCTTTTCGAGGGTATTTGCTCCGGGGACTGTCATCGCCATTCAACTTTGCCTTGGTTTCCAACATATTACACTTTTTCGCAATTTCTCCTTTACTTGCTCTTTAATCGTTGGCAATCCGTTTTGGTCTTCAATTTGTATTGACGCCGACGTCGTGGCCTCACATTCCTTCATGGACGCATCGGTAATTTGGCTATTATGTTTTAGGACATCCACAAAAGATTGCACAGGTGTCGTTGTATTCAAACCGGTCGGCTTATTTATTATTTCCTCGCCAAGTAGATCGCATTTTGTTTTTTTTCGACTACCCTCATTATTTCCCGTAATTCTTTCAATTCCAATTCAGCATTAATGAATCTATTTTGTAGCTCATTATAGTCTTTTTTCTGCTCTTCAAAGCGGTTCAGCATGTCTTGCCTAAAATCCTTCATTTCTTTAAGCAAGTAACTGAAATAATTCTCAACAAGAACATCATTTTTTTGAGGACTTACGCTTTTCGGTGTTATAGTAATTTGAGACCCTTTACGATTAATTTTATCCACCTTGGAAGCGTAACACAAACATTCTGGACACCTCCACCAATCTTTCTCGTGCTGATTCATCATCACCAATTTTTCTTTGCTTATATTTAAACACTGTATATGATACATATTACCGCATTTAAACTTAGAACACTTCAAGTACAAAGAATTATTAATTCTGTTTTTACAGTTCTTGCATTCCATTTTTGCACCCAAATTAAAACAACTGACTACTTAGTCAAACAAAAAATACGTCCGTCTACCGTCGTCGCACGGCGAGAAGAGTTATATTACTCCAAAAAAAAAAAAAAAAAATGTAAGTTATACATGCAACTAAAATATTTTTAAATACGAGGCTGATTCAAGTAATCAATAATCTGCTCTGGACTACTGACAACTGACACATTTGACATTTAGGAATTGTTGACCTATATAATATACTTTTGCTGAGCCTTCCTAGACTGTGCTTACTGCTTAGACCTTACGTCACAAAACACTATTACTTCTAGCGAAGAACAACACCTTCATAGTAATAAAATGCTT